AGCACCCTAGATTAGACATCATATTCAACTCAAAGGCTAAAAAGAAAGCCTTGTTAATAAGAAAAACAGCTGGAGGGCTTACAGTAGAGTGAAAGCACAGCTGGAGCTACTGTAAAAGGGAACACGACAGAAACAGCTGGAACAATTATGGCATGGTTAAAAACAGCAGGTACTAGTTGAGAAAAAATGGGTTAGGAATGCAGAGCTGGACATAGCAAAAGCTGGCTAAACTGAACCTCTGGATCTCAAAAAAGAGTATCTTCAAGGCCAGCCCTACTATTAGGTAAAATTAGGTGGCTGCTTCCTAAAGTTAGGTAGCAGGAAAAGACTAGGGATGGCAGCCAAGTGTTCAAGAAGGGAGGGGGCTGATGCTGAAAGGCCTGACTCATGCCCTCTAAACTAGACTGTGGCCTTCAAGGGCAATGAAGGATGCTGTTTAAGCAGTTCCTGTTGATTCATTATATGAACCGAAGACCAAATATGCCACCTAATTTTTTGCCTCAAGCAGCTAAATTGCTGAAACCAGGCCTGCATAGTATCTTTCCTCTTGTGGACATCCCTCTTTCCTCTTGTAGACATTCATACATCCCTTGCAATTAGGACAATCAGATGACTACCAGGTTAGTTGCATTTCAGCTAAGTAACACTATCAGTTAAACCTTCTAATAGCTAACTTAGTATAGCAAACTGTTTGTTTGGTTCGAGAGGTCATAGTGGATTTGTTCGTTGCACAAGCAAAGGATGAGACTGATCTGAAAATCTTTATAATCCTTCAGATCAGAGGAAACTGATGGCTAGGACTGCTTCAACTGCTACTGCCCAGATACTGACATAGCCTACAGTCCCAGTAGCCTCACTGGGTCAGCAACACAATATTTTTATTGTTCAAAGCCTGGTGCCTCTCAAACAAGACTGGCTACAGTGACCTATTTGTGGCAGAGATGCTTCACTCACAATGACTGTAGCAGAGCACAACCTCCAGGTCTCTGTATGTCATTTCCAGCTGCAATGGTATTTGGCCATGCCCATTGCAAATGTCTGAGTCTGCTCATGCTCTGCGCTAGTGCTATGAACTATACACGGAACCAGAGTAGTTCCAGAGGAATGTGGGTGTCATTAAAATTAAGCCCACTAATATCTTCTCTCCAATTGAGTCTTTAGCAGTAACAAGCTCCTCCAGGTTAATTGCTAATACTTAAAGCTTAAACAGAAATGTGGAGATTAATTACAATGTAACCTGGAATTGTAAAGTCTTATGATAAGGCTCTGAATGAGAAGCTAAACAATCCCCCTGTGATTAATGTTGGTATTTACTCTGAACTTTTAAAGTGGAGTTAATTGCAAATTATGGGAAAAACACACAAGGTCCATGCTCAGCCACGGCCCTAAAGTCTATGAACAATGATGCAGTAACATCCTTTCACTGTACACGCAAGACCTTCTTCTAAATAGCAATCCTTAAATATTCAATACTAGCAACAAATGCTTCTCACAACAGAAAGAAAGAGGTACAGACCAACCAGTGTCAATAGTGGAGAATATGATTCTCCAACACCATCACCATGGCATCTCCAAATGTAATATATGTAGAGAGGGCATAATAAAAGGGTGAAACAGAGATACACAAATAGAACCTCTCAGATTTAATCCTTGCACTTTCCAATTCAGCTTTCTAAGCAACAAAGACAAGGTCAGTTGAGAGAAGGAGGAAAGTAAACTCACAACGCAATGCATAAAAATATGTATTTTAGATTAAATACTTTCAATTTAAATGCTAATTCTGGCACATTTTTTCTTTAATGCATAGCATGATGCAGAAATAGGATAGAAATTATTTCTGAAGGAATGCAATGTAAAAATGACCAGAAATCCACTAGCTCATTCACTAAAAGAATGATCCTAGTCAGGACCTCAACTACTTGGCTGAGTCACAATACTGAAAAACAAAACAGTGTTAGATCCTTATTTCATGAGTAATCATCACTGAAGCTTTTCCAGGAATGACATTCATTAAGTCCATGTCTTTTGCTCTCCTTCCTGATAAAGAATGATTTGCTGGATGAGATCCATTGATGACCCTCAGCAGAAAACAACTACACATTGGACCATCATTGTAGCTGCCTTGCAAGTACCTCTGGAAGAATACCAATCAAGGGCCATGCCCCATCTATTAGTATAAATATCTTCTGCAACAGGAAACAATGCTTATTCAGGTCCAAAGCAATGAATAGCCTAACCACAAAATAGATCTCAGAGGCAGACTGACATTAAGGCCTTTGGTCATCATTAGTGTTTATCACAGAGAGATGTGGTGAGCTTAATTAATTGGTATGAAACCCACGAATAAAAGGCAGGGACCGATGATAACATAATTAGAATAATTGTTATTGTTATGAAATCTTCAGTCTATTCTTCATCCTTTTGCAACACAAGCAGCATTCTCTGAAAAGAAGTATCTGTACTCTCCAAAAATAGAAAAGCCACAGAAGGATTTCATGCCCAGCCTTGCTGACTTTTCATTTGTGGGATTGATATATAGATACAGCAGAATTCTTCAACCATTTCAGGGAGAACGAAATTTCCCAATATACAGTGCCATACTCACTATCCAACTTATTCCTTACTGCATTAGGTTTCCACTTGCAGAGAAAATCTTTTCCTCATCATAAAGGAAGTATTCAAAACTGTTGACTTCCCCAGTCTTGCAGCATGAAATGGTTTGACATCTCTTTTCCTCCTTGTTCTGTTCATGCATTGGTTAGCTACAGTTTATCATAATCCACTTTTCACATCCATTCCTATCTGAGGACAGCTGTTTGTCAAGTTCAGGTCCTTCAACTCAGATAACTAAAGGAGAATTAAACAGCTGCCATTTCCTCCAATCTCTCTCCACCACTCATATCTCTTTCCTCCCTCCATGCTGCCTCACAATTGATGCTTACATTCCAAACTGCCTCTTGTCTTTGGGTGCTCACCATGAGATCAATCAAAGAAACAGAACAGAGGAGAAAAGAACAATAATCAGCTAGTTTCATGCATGTCTAAATAAGGCCTAGTGGTAACCATGGTAACAGCACTGAAATGCTATCTTGTATCACGGTACGATCTCTTGCTTCTACCACTTCCCATCTACAAGCTTGCCTGGAATGAACAGATTCATTCAATGTAAAAGCATGAAATTCAGCAGAACAGATGTTTTAAACCCTAAATGCTGATAAGACAAGGGACAATGTCCACTGGCCATTGCAAAGGACCCTACATCTACTCAACATTTTAAAATAGCTTGCCAAAGCTCTGTTGTATTGTTCTGAACTCCATTTAATTTCCTTCCTTCCCGTCCTCCTTCTCAAATATTTATATTTTGCTTCATCAACAATGCTGATTATAACTAAGAACAGAATGAAACCACCATCACTCCATTAAAACAAAACCCAAGTTGTCAAAGAGGTAGATATATGTAAAGCAAAGGGCCTACCACAAGGGATGGAAAAGCCCATCATTTCTATTTTCTCCAATAGTCATGTTCTTTTCTCTGTTAATGAAGAAAGTTACAACTTGGATATGTTCCAAGCACAAACAAACTAAGCAAAAGTCTCACACAGTCTAGTCTAATTCAATAGGTGTAGTTCTTCCCAGAATGGAGCAGACCATATTGCACCTGCTTTACCATCTCTCTAATTTAGCGTTACTATTACAGTTGAATGCACTATGTTGGAACCCCAGACCTCTCAAACATCTCTACTCAATGACAGGTAACTGGATCTGTTTTGTTTTCTCCAAATGAACAGTCAGACACATAGGTACATAGACATACACATCACATAAAATCACATTTTCTAGTTCTTTCTATCTCCTCACTGAAGAAATCTGTAAATATTTTGCTACTGTAAATGAAGTTATATTTTCTCCTCTTACTCCAGCACCTGCCCAAATTACCCTGATCAAGATCTGTTTCTCCACTGCTGAAAAGGATGTTGAAAGAAGATCTGTTTTCCATTACTCAGTTGAGAGCTGACAAGATGGGGAAAGTGCATGGGGAGTTTGCGGGCTGTATACTGCTCCTCCCATTCCACCCCACCCAATGTTCTGAATATTTTAAATAGAATCTACCCCAAATTAAGAAAAAAATTCAGCTGAGAAATTGCTGCTGCCAGAAGAAAGATGGAGGAGAACCTCAACTACTATCTCAACAACAACCATTGATTTTGATTTCACAAGCTTTGGCATTCACAAACATTTGTGTAATAGAACAGTCTTCTCCAGTTTGGAGCACCTCAAAATGTGCAGACTTCAACTCCCAGAATGCTCAGGACTGGGGAATTCAAAGGAAGTCCATACATCTGGAAGGCATCCACTCTGGGAAAGGATATGTTGGGGCAAAATTTGAGAATCATAGGGATTTCCAGGCTCATTCCTGCTATTTCTCTTTACTGAATCTGCACAAGCAGACTGTACTGCACCTTGTTCTCAGCCAATCAGTTTAACAGAGTAATATATAACTGTATCTATATTGTTTTTCAATTCTTCATTGATAAGCTTCTACACAGAAGATAACAAAGCTGCATCCAAATACTTCTGCTTACCACCCCAAAGTAATACATAATTTAATAATTAAAACTAATTATTATTTAAATTTCTAATCCATCCAAAAACCAAAATTGTCTGGGAGATGGCAGAGGCGTAAAAAATATGAAAAACAATAAGATGCATTATTTAATACCCTAAGTAGGATATAATTTAAAAACACAGAAAAGCCTCTATTCCAGTACAATATTGACTCCAAATCAAATGCTAATCATGAAACTGCTTGGAAGAAGAACCTTAGCTTGGTATCAAAAAAAGTCATCAAGAGGTAACACCTAGGGAAAGCATTTCACAAAATCCTCATTCTTGTACCCACCCAACTGACTTGATAAGGATATCCAGAAGATGATCTCCAAGGAATTTCAGTTGCCTAGAAAGATACAAATGTTAGATGTTGTTTGAGATACAAAACTCACCATCTTCATCAGTCTGAAATATCATCTCTTTGCCTTCTTTCCGGCCTTCAGGATTGGACAGGATGAGCTTGACGTGGACATTTTTATATGGCAGAAGGTTCTTGATGGTGTAGCGGTTGGTACTGTGCTCCATCTTTACACACTCACGAAAGGTCTGGTTATGGCCAGTGCCTACAGCATAGCGATAGCAGAGTGTGACAGTGTATGTATGACAGCGAGTCAGGTTGTAACCCAGAGGCTCCCACTGAAGGATCAGCTGCCTAGACTGGATCTCCGCAAAGGCAAGGCCTTTGGGGGCCCTCATGGGTTCTGCAGAAAGAGGGGGGTGGGGGGAATGAAAAAGAACAAAGTCAGTAACTATCAATGCTTTGTCTACTTCTGTGGAAAGGGCAATGCCTTGTCTATGTCTATAGAAAAGAATGCTGAGAATGCAAAGATGTTACAACCTCTGGTGTAGCAGAAAGCTAGATTCAGATTGGCTACAGAAAGATATAATAAATGGGACAGAATGGTCTGAAGCTGTTTATACCCTCACAATCAGTGATGCTCAATTGCTTAAATGGACCACAAATCTGCTTGCTTACCATAATGCAGAATCCTGAACCATATCTATGATTCCTTGAGAAAGCAGTTGCAACTGAGTCCTTGAACCAGATCTAGCCAAAGCAGACTGAACCAATCTCTAGCCCTTGCACTTCTTTGTTGTACCCTCTATAGGATCTCAAACTCTGACCTTATAACTCCCCATTATTCAATAGACCTGGTAGAACGCAGAGGTTTACATGACTCATGCTGTTTGGACCAATACTCTGAGAAGACAACAAAAGTCCCAGAATTGTTATGTATCACTACTGTATTGTGTCAGAATCTATTAGAACAAGCCTAGCCTATGCCAATGTTTATTGACGCATGATGTTCTTCTTCTCTTTCAATGTTTTAATCTTTTTTTTTAAAAAAAAATGTTTTCCTGTATAATCTGATCTTTGATCATAATAAATAAAACAACAGCAACCAGAGAGCCTGACAATGACAGAAGAACAGTCATTAATCTTATATGGCAGGACAATTGCTGAAGAACAGAGGTGGAACTATGACACCACAGCAGAATATCCTGCAGGCAGGAAGCTCCTGAAGAAGGTAGAAATCTCTCCCTGGTTTTGAAAAGCATCCTGTTCTAAAATAGAGATGAGTATCCTATGACTCGAAGGTTTATTTTCATTCAGCTCTCAAATTAATTTTAAAGCCCTTTACAAGCAAACGAGCAATTTAGGTTTCCAGCAAAAGCAATTTGTCCCTTCCTTGGCAACTGCTATGTAAGAAGGGAGACGGAGGAGTGCCAGAGAAAAATAAATGCCCCAAAGTAAGAAAGGGTGCCTCATATTCTTCTGGCATTGATTTACCCATCCTTATAACGAGATGAGATCTTTCCTCTGAGGATGGTCCTATGGAAATTCAGAGCTTGATGGAAAAGAGTTAATCATCCTTGCTCACAACAGACAGTTCAGTGGTAAAGACTGCTTGACAACACTGACAGAATGCCCAAGATATACCCTTTCATCTAAAGAAGCAAAATGTTTTACCCAGTCATCAAAGGAACCCTGGAAAAGGGGAAAAACATGCTTGCAGTAAGAACTGCATTCTGTCTCAATGCCCAACTCTACATGGGCTAGTAGAGACAGTTTATACATTCAGTGGCTGCATTCACACAACACACTTATCCTGTTTACTGAATTAATTTATTTTCTAAGTTGCACAATAAACTAACCCCAAAGCCTAAGTTCATACAAGATCATCCACAAAATACTAACCAACAACCCAAGCTTAACAGGGGTATGCAAAATCCTCCATCTTGGAATGTTCTGGCACCAAAACAAGCCATTCCAATCTCAGAACAAGACATTTCAAGTGTTCTAGAAGGGATCCCACCAGAAACCAGTAGTGCTGAGAGACTTAGAACGGTTCTGTTTCAAGAACGGGCCATTTCCAAAACACTGAATGACCCATTTTGGTGTCAGAACATTCCACAATGAATCATTTTGCCCACCCCAAAAGCTTAGCATATTATGTGAATGCATCTGCTAAGTTAGTAATTCACCTGGTTAAGAGTAAACGATTTAGTTATGAGTATTAGGTGAACAAACCACTATAAGTAACAATAAGTTCCCTAAACATCAGAACAGTCCAAAAGGAAAACGTCCTCACATTAAATCAACTAAGCTCAACTCCCTGGTTGTTAAACTGGATTAGGCTTAATGAACTTGGGTCATGCCAAAGCTACAGGGATCCAAGATAAGATAAACTGCTCTTCCACATTGCTACCCAATCATTTTGGAACATCTACAATCATTTATGTATCTCTTTCTCTGAATGTTGTACAGAAATACCTTTTCCT